GACGAGAAAAGCTAATGAAAGCCCTCTGTGCTGAGGGTTGGTTTTAGGTGAGTACCCTCAGATTTACTTCCAGTATCATCTTCACAGGGAAATTAGTCAAAGGTGTGCTTCCCAACTATTAGAACTGTCTTGTAATAGAAGTGAGCACACGAAAATGAAGCTTGTTGCACACAGATGTGTTTTAAAGCCTCTGTGGGCACCATGCATTCGTGAGAGTGCAGCACAAGTCAGCTTCTCCCACCTCTGTCCCTGTCACCTATTCAGTGCACCATGTGCACTTTGAATGCAAGACAGTTGGCCAGCACTCTCAGATTCACAAGCTTGGTGGGCCTTACAGGATGGCAAGGCGAGGACCTGTGCCCATACACCTGGATGAATCTGGACATCAGCTCCATCTTACTCCATCTTTCAAAGTGTAAGGTGTTTGCTACCTGCAGAAATTCCCTATGAGAATACAAAACCTTTGCAAGGGATAACACTTTGCACCAGTGAAGGCCAAATGTTGCTTAGTTCCCCCTTTTCCTAGGGATGCCTGCCAGGATAACAGTTCTGTCAGGCTCTCTGCCATTAGACCGAGTATTTTCAATGGTATGTATGACTTCCTACTGAGTGATATGGATTTCCTTTGAAGCTTGGCTTTGTCCGGTCCTCTTCAAAAGGGTGATCACTAATATTTTTGTGGTTGTAACAGACTGCAGTATTTCAAATTTGGGGAGAGCAATCCAATTTTCAAGTACAGTGTTTTAACCTTGCCATAAGTACACTTGTCACTGTCAAATAACAAGTCCTGAAGCATGTTTTGGAAAATTTGGCCATGTTACTGCAGCGGCACAAGTTGACTGGTCTCACTCACTCTCTTCCTGGCCCAGCATCATGTCAAGTTTCTAAGTCAACCCCAATCTTTCCCATATGTCCCTGTTATCTTCTCTATATCCTCTGCTGGTAAAGTAATGGGAAATTCCACCATGGTCTAGATGAATCTGGAAGCAATCAGATGATTTCTTGGGGCTACTGGGTTAAAAGAGAGGTTCACTCTAGAGAGAAGTGAACCTCTGATATGGGTTACACCTAGACATGGGGTTTCAACACCCAACACCTACATAGTAAGGGTGTCACAAACCTCTAAATTAATGGGATGGTCACGCAGGACCACAGAAGCCTTGGACTCCTCCAGTAGAATCAAGCTCCACTCAGCCCTGGAGAGGCTCTTTCACAACACAGAAAATGCAGTGTTGCAGCTTTTGAGTTTTATTTAGATTAGAAGCAACACTCATCACAGCATTATTCACAAGAGCAAAAATGAAGAACAATCCACAAGGTCAAAATCCAGGGACTAAGTATAAACACATTGAAGCCTATGGAAAGCACATTCTAGAAGCACATTTATAACATAGGAAAATGAACCACTTGTATGAGTAATGCACACTGTAAGACAGAAGGATTCAACATTGCTTTTAAAAATGTACACAGATGCATAATAATAATCCTGAAGACTATAGACCAAGAAATCCACAGTACTTATGTCTGGGAGTTAGTTACATTCAAAAAGTGTTTATTTATTCTGTTTTATTTTTTAAAAGTAATCACCAGCAATCATGTATTTAAAATGACTCAAACAAATCAATTCAATATTTCTAAGAATAAGAGTAATTCTCACCAGCGTGCTCATCTGAAAGATGACAAGAAGACAAAAGTCACTTGTGCTGTTTTAAGAGAAGCACTAACCCGAGCTGGATATGAAGGCTGGAGTCTTTGTGGTTTTCAAATTTGTGACAAATGCCCATGCAAGATGACAGTTATGTGTGGTATGTATTTCCCTATTTGTTTCTGCTAACCTCCAGTTTGCTTTTTTCCAAATAAGACTTCGGGGTTAATAACAATGTTTTGAAATTAGGCCTTGGGGAAAAGCTATTGTTTAAAGCAGGTTAGTTCTCAAGCTCTAAAAGAAAAAATTCAGTGTACTATGATCACCAAGTTGATGGGGCAGCAAGGAGAATTTTGCATATGTCCTTGTTTTGCTTGAACTTTCCTTATGCTGGTAAGCAATCTTACTTCTGAGGATTTACTCTAGGAGATGACAGTAACAAACATTTTAATTGTTAAAGGGATTGTCTGCAGAATACCTGTAATAAATTATAATTTTAAGTTTGTGACAATTTAAAAGAAAGACAGATATGGTAGAACTGTTACCTATACCGTAGGATGGTAACAGTAGGTTACCTACAACAGATGGTGGGCCAATTTTGGCTCAGCTTGTGAGCTGGTATGGTTTTTATGTTGTTAAATGGCTGGAAAAAATGAAAAGAAAAATACCTCAAGAAACGTGAAAAGAATGTAGAATTCAACTTTTATGTCCGTGAACAGTTTCACTGAAGCACAGTCCTGCTCCTTCTTTACATCTCATCTTGGCTGCCTCTGTGCTATGATGACCTCTTGAACCCCAGTGACTGACACCCTTCATCTTACAGAGGAAGTTTGCTGACTATAGCAGCATTTCCAAGGTGGTTACAAATATCCTCCATATTTCCTCTAGATGGCAGAAAAGGTCCTAAACTAATAGGGAGATCAAAAGGAAAACCCAAAAATCTACTGCCCACACAGGAGATTTACATTTCAATTAAGTCATCCCCTGAAGCCAGTCCTTTCAACAGTACAAAACATTTTTTTTCTGTATAGGTTCAATAGACCAAAAATTAAATGTCTGAAGGAAACTAAAGGATTCATTTAGTCCAGAACTAATGTCTGTATTGAATAAATTCAGCATTTATTCACTCTTGCCTGAAGTAAATATTACCTAATATGCAGCATTAAAGAGACTCCCCACTTTTAATGTGTCTATATAACATGCTTCACATATCAGACTGAATTACACTTCTTAACTTTCCAGGTTCAGGTACTCATTTGAGTCAACTGGGTTGAGTTAGCTGTGTATGTTGAGTATCAACTTTTTTTTCTTTTTTATGGTATTGGAGTTTGAACATAGGGCCTCACGCTTGCTAGGTAAGCACTCTACCACTCGAACCACACCCCATCCCCAAGCAGCTTGGATGACAGGCATGTACCACCATGCCTGGTTTATTAGTTGAGATGGCGTCTTGGTAAATTTTGGCCTGGGCTGTCATTGAGCAAAAATCCCCCTGATCTCTACCTCCCAAGTGGCTGAGATTACAGGTATGAGGCTTTACACCCAGTTCCAGCACCAACTTTTATTTTAACTGAATTTAAATGGTATTAGGATTTGACTGACTATGGCAAAATTTTACACATGAATCAATCAAAGTACATGCGTTCCATCTTTACACTTACTGTCACATAAAAACCACACTGGGACCTCCTGAAAGAATGTTACAAACCTATACTGTTGGTATAATAATATTACTTGTGGTCTTTTCAAATATAGCTTCTTCATTTCTCAATAAGAAGGCAAAAGATACCAAACCACTTTTCAAGAATGCAGCAGATACCAGAATTCTGGAACCATCTTCACACTCATAGTCTCTCCTGCCATTTCAGTTCTTTTTCTTTTTTGTAACTATGGACTTCTGCATAGACAAAGAAACGCTCATCTAGAACAATAGGTAACTTTGTACTGATCTCCCATCTTCTCTCTCCATCTTTCTCTCAGAATCTGTCATAGTGGTAGCTAAACCATTAGAAGGTTGCAAACACCACATTGCTGCACCCTTAGGTTGGTTCCTAGGTAGCTCATACATGCTACCTTCTACACAGAACCCATCATGCACCTGAGAAGCTAGCAGTGTCCCCATGTTACCATCTAATACCCAATGAATATTGACATGCTCCCCAGTGAGCCCCCAATTACCTTTTAGAGACTTTCTGTTGATTAACTTAGCGACACACACTGCACGTGCACTCACTGAGTGTTGGTTTCTCCTTTAACCTAGTGAAGTTCTTGCTGCTTTCTTTCTACGCACATCTTTTTCTTTATGCTGATTTTGAAAAGCTTAGTTCAGTTGCCTTGTGGAATTCACATTCTGGATTCTTCTTGTGGATCCATTTAAATTATTTCTCCCCTGTGTACATCCTGTCCAGTGGAGGTCAGGTCTAAAGCTTGGCCCTATGATGCCTTGGGTGCTGCATGGTTCCAGGTGGGAAATGTCAAGCTATCCCATTTTGGGTAGTGTTAATTTTGGTCAATAGATCAAAGTGTTGACCACCTTTGTAAATTATGACTTTTCTTTGCAATTAGCAATCAGAGAGGTAACACTGACACTGCCATATTTCTTCACCCAACAACCACTTCAAGTAATGATTTCAAGCTACGGCCAGAATCAAACATTTCATTAAGGATGAATAAATAATGGTTTTTCTGTCCTTATTGTTTCTTTCCTTTTCATTAGCTGGCATTATCCTATAAGGAGGATGGAAGGCCTTTCCTTTCTGACTGAGAAAGGCCTAGAATCCCCTCTGAAAGTCAAAGTGCTAGGCACATTATTAGATCTCTCTCCATGGAATCTCTTTGGTTTGTGTTTGTTTTCCTTTGTTTTCAGTAAGAGGCTTGAAGTCAGGGCCTCTGCTTGAATTCTGGCATTTTTCTTTTTGAATTTTAACAGTCCATTCATTATTATCTTTGATGCTCAATTTGTCATTGTGTATTGGGCCTGTGAGGGCTCTTTCTAGCTGGATACTTGAGATACATCCTTATTCTTTGGTGGAAAATGCTGTTCTGGGATCCCTTTACTCAGGTAAGACCCTGAGTTTGTCCTTCCTGCCACACTCAGGAACTTCCCCCAACCCACACCCTAGCAGTACACCTGACCTGAAGACACTCTTTTATTTTTTTTTTTCTACACTGTTTCGTCTGAGACCAAAAATGTTAAAGTGTTGCATTGCTTCTCCATCTGCCAAACCTTTGCTTAGCTCACCATTTGGCACCCAGAAGAACCCGGGCAATTGCCAGAGCACAGCAGGCTGGGTGTGTGTTCCCCCCGCCCCGCCCCCCCAGCCCACAATGAGCATGGCTCAGCTCTTTCTCTTACCTTGCATAGTAGTCATTGGGGGGGACTGCCTCTTGAAAGAATTGGAACTGGTATAAATAAAGTCCAATCAGGTGTCCAGCAGTGAAAATCGCAAGCAGAACACAGAGACAGCTGAACAGCAATGGGTCAAATGTCCGGCACCAGGACCACCAGGTACACAGAGCCAGAAATACAAAGAAGTACACAGCCGAGGTCAAAGATGGCAGCATCACACCTAAGGGAGAGGAAATGCAGTCATGGAAGAGGGGAGCACTGGGACTCACTTCCCACTTAGCAAGTGGGATCATGGGAAATGATGCAAATTTCCTTCATCTATCAATGAGGTTTTTAGGATATTAATTAAAATTTATTAACATAATCAGAATTAATGCTGTATTTATTGTGAATGAGTCATGTGAAGTGGGAATTTTATGTTGATGAATGAAGAAATTCTATCTACTGCATTTGAGTTAAGTAAACACCCACTTTTCATACTGATAGAATTTACATATACACTTGAGTGTAAAAGATACTTCTTGACATTTCTAGAACATATGGAAATTCATTCCAGTTTTCTTTATAACAATTTTTTTATTTAACTAAGATTCATAATAATATTACATCTGGTGGCAGTTAACTTCTCATGAAAACTTTGTTTCTAACTGATATGATACCACCAAAGGCGGAGGGGTATAAGATGAAGCATCCCCTTTTCTATATGTGTCTTAAAATAATTTTATTGGGCATTTTGAGAGGACTCCTCACTAAAATACTGGGTTTTATTTCTTGATAAATTCTATTTTCTTTTTCTCTTTTTGCTGCATTAAAAAGCAGTTGAGCTATTTCATTTTTGTAACTGAAACAGTGGGAGTGGGTGTACTCTCACTGGCTTCAGCACTGGTGGTAGCAGGATAGAAGAAGGAGAAAGAAAGAAGGAAGTGACATTATCATGGAGTGAGCAGTCTGTGGCCAAAATTGAAAGGAAGTGAATGTCTGTGGTGGAAGACTGCAATCTAACTTGGGAAGAGATAAACCAGTATATCCTGGCGAGTTAAATTAAGATTTCAAATGACTCCATGTAAACAGACATCCCCTCTGAATGCACTGGCCAGGCTACACTCAAATTGCTAAATACAGTCACCATTCAAAGGCTCTGAGGAAGAGGAAGAATTGTTATTTTAACCTAAACACAGGACATGAGGTCACTGAAATTTGGAAAAAAGATTATTTGACAAGATAGAGAAGCCATCCTCAAACATCAAGCCTAGAAGTGAACAGGAAAAATGATTTTTGTTGGTGTGGTTTGTATGTGTGGTTGGCTTTACAGGACCTGCAGCGTTACTCTGGTGTCATGATACAGATTGTTCACTTCTTTGCTTTCTCTTCAACCATGTCGTTCATTATTCACGGGCTGGGCCTTTTGGCTGTGCACTGCCAGTATGGGACACACTCACCTGAGGAGCCCAGCAAGATGGTCACCACAACTTTGCCAGCCGTGGTTATCATGTTGCCGATAAACTCCTTAAGCTTGGAGGCAACAGAGGCAAGCCTGCGGAACATTTTTAGTTTTGCACTTTCTTCCAACTCGCCTTCATCACCTTCTCCTTCATATAAATCCTCTCCATAGATCAGTGCCTCTTCTGAGTCCATTTTTTCTCCTCCAGCCTAAATAAATGAAAAAAATATATATACTGCAGTCCAGACCTCTGCTGGTCCCTAGGGCAGATTATAGAGTTCCTAATTTATGGGTCAGTCAATGAAATCAATTGCACAAATCAGGAAAAAAAATGCAGATCACCAGTTCAGTCCCTCATGTGTCTGATAATCCCTGCAATGATCTCAGCTCACTTTAGCTTTTCCTGAAGAAGTATTCAGGAAATATCACTAAATCATAGAGTTCCTGGTGGCATGTCCTGTGACCTACATATGCTCATTTTTTACAGACAGAAGAAACTATCAGAACCTCTATTAGCAATCTCAGCTTTGGTCAGCTTGGGTTTGGTTCTTCAAATTTAGTTTGCCTTGGAGGTTTGGGACATTTTGACAAAACCATCTGCAGTTTTAACTGCAGGGGTGGCCCAAGGAGAGTTCAGGATACTCCTCTCTCTGTACTTCACCTTAGTTCGCCACTGCAGGTCTCCTGACTTGGAGAGGATGGGTGGTCTTGGGCTGCTTGGTTAAATAGGCCACTGCTTCCTGTCTCACACCTGCTGGATCCTGGTAATTTGGCTCCTAGGACTGTCATCAGCAGGGTGGGGGTGCTCAGGTCCAGAAATCCAGGCGTCCCCATGCATTGTTTTTCACTGCGTATGTGATGTTGGCTTTTTTTTTTTTTTTTTGATTTTTTTTTTTTACTGGTTTATTTGATTTTAAAAACTAGGGACTGTTTTTGGTTATTAAAATCTTTTCCTAGAAGGGTTAGGATTTTTTAAGGAATCCTACATCTAAGACAGGAAACAGTGAAGCTGCTTAAATTTGTCCCTAGGCTGATAGCCTCCTACCTTGAGGCTGCACAGAGCAGCTGGCTGTGGAGTCCCAGGGCATTAGGCCCGGCCCTTTGGCCTCTACTTTACAGGCTGTTTCTGGAGAGACTAGGCTCAGCCATTCGCACAGTACTCACTGATGGTGTCTGGCTCTTAGCACGCTGAATGCAGCATGCTGAGCGCAAGGGGGAGGCAGGCCCAAGAGGGCTCCTCCAAGTTCAAGGACATCCTGGATGACTTTGAGAACCCAGAGACCTTCTGCTTGTCAAGGAGGGTACAGGCTACAGGGGACTTAAGTTGGCTATTGATGAATCTAGGCTGCAGGATGGACCCCCACCTGTCCTCACCTAATTCCACATGCACACACACACACACCTATACACACATAGACACACACATGCACACACATAAACACATACTCCCACATATGCAAGGACATCTGCCCACAAATACACCCCCTTACACACATGCACACACACATACACATGCACACACCCCCAACACGACTTCATCCTGCGATTGGTTCCAGGTCATGCAGGATAGCTGGGTTCTACTGAATTTCACTGTGACATAGTCAGCCATCTGCACTCGTAGGTTCCACATCCATGGATTCAACCAACCACAGGTCAGAAATATTAGAGAAAACTGTACTGAACATGCACAGGCATTTTCCTTATCATTATTCCCTATGCAATGTAGCATTGTAGCTATTTACACAGCATTTACATTGAATTAAGAATTCTAAGCCATCAAGAGGTAATCTAAGGTTTATGGAGGATTGTGTAGGTTACATGCAAATCTACACCACTTCACATACGGATTTGAGCATCCATGGATTTTGGTATCCACAGAGGTTCCTGAAACCAGTCCCCTGTGGAAACCAAGAGACACTGTATCTGTATTTTTTCCTGAAACATAAAGAACATCTCATGCTATCCACTGAAATGTTTTTAGCCAAATAGGCCAGTGTTTCCTAGTATCTCTAGCAAGAGATACAGCAATAAACATGTGAGCAAGTGAAAAAATCAACGTACTAAGCATCTCTGTAATAAATGCTGTTCAGGGAAATCAGCTACTGTGATACAATTGTGACCTGAGTAACGGAGAGCCTCTCTGACATTTGAGCTAAGATCTGAATGTCACAAAGTCACCAGCCATGTGAAAGTCCCAGGAGAGAGCATGCCAGGCAGAGGGACGAGCTGGTCAAAGGCTCCATGGTGTATCAGAGGGAAAGCAAGTGTCCCAGCTCATGACCTCTTCTACTCCCTTATAGGACAAGACCCACCTTTCCAAAATTATTATTTCCAAAATAGAAAGACCTTGCTTTCTATTTTATAGAGGGAAGAGTAGAACAGTGCACACAGTCTACCAGACAACCTCCTTATAGTCTGGTATGGATGCACACACTCTGCTCTCTTCTTGTAGCTAGACAAACTCCATGAGCTCCAGCCACAGTGATCAGATCCTATCTAATCAGAACACCAGGTGGAGGCCCAGCCCAGCCATTTCCCTTCTGTCCTGCAGCACCACGTGCTCCATTTCTCTCAGATCAACCCATCAACAAACAAACAAACAAACAAACAAATGTGCCTTACTATCCAATCTTAGAAAAATTCACCCTTCCAAACTGCACTTGTCCCCAAAGTGAAATGCTCCAAGATTTGGCCAGACTCTACTCATCTCCCCAATTCCTCTTGAACCTGCTCTAATAGGACTTTGATCTCTGATCATTCCCTCTAATGAGCGTGTGGCATGATTCATTGTACAGGGTAATTCCATTGGCTGCCCAGAGGGAGCAGGGGAAGGCCTCTGGTAGGGGGAGTGGAGTTGAAGTGAACTTGGTGTCTTTGGTGTTTGTGTTGGAGATCCAGCTGGCAACCCTGAGGTAGGAGGGGTGGGGCAGAGGATAGTCAAGACAGTTCCTGTGCCTTGTGGCTAGGAGTGGCTAGGAGGGAAGCAGGTTGGGGGCTCAGGTCACCATCCCTGTTTTGGAAGTTCAGTTCGGATGTGCCAAGCAGATAGTGAGCCCATCAGGCAGGAGAGAAGGCAGGAACTGGAGGTCAGTCTCAGGTGGTTTTACATCAGGGCTCTGGTGGATTCCTTGGGAGAGAATTCAGAGGTGGCTCACCTCATAGGTGCTGCCCACCTGGGACCACCGCACATTCCACGTGTGTTCATTTGCCTAGGAGCACTGCATGCAGGGAAGGGTTTGGGACACCAGAATCCACAGGCTCTCTTTGCCTCTGCATCTTGGAACATGCTTTCCCCATCCTGAGGAACCCCTAATGCTTAAGGTTAAGAGGACTCTCTCTCCTGCATCCTATTCCATCTCCCCATGGCCAGAATCACTGTTGGAATCCATCCTGAGCAATTACCTCAAAGATGCCACACCACCATCCACACACAAATAAGCTGGTCCCAGGTGAATGATGCATGAAAAGTCTCCCCCCTAGAAGGAAGTCTGGATGACCCTTTACTCATTCCACTTGAAGAGGAGGAAAAAGAAGGGAGTGCAGCAAGGGCCGCCTGGGTCACAGTTAACACACTGGTAACTTTCCTAATAAATGACTTATTATTCAATTACAGAATGGCTACGGATGTAGATTAAATCAAACAGAAGTTTCTGGTTAAGAAGCCTTGGTGAGGTCACACAAACACATGACTTCCTAGGCAGGACTGGGGCCCTTGTGATTTCTATCAACTCACCACTGTACTGAGGCCTTTCAGTATTTTTATACCAGAATCCCTGGGGCTTTCTGTTGGAAATGCTTTTTAAATCTGCTAATCAGAGTCAACCATGAGGTGGGCCATTCTCTGAGCCCCTACTGTCCAGGTCTGTTAGGGACAGAATTTCCATCAGTAACCCACCATTCAACATTAGTCACATTAGCCTAGCTTATTAATGGGTAGGCCTTTTCCCTAAATGATTCATCTGCTGAAGTGTAAACACGGGGCCCCGAAAGAGCAGACCCACCCTAACTTATTTACTACTAAGCAGTCCTGTTTGCTATGTCCCTGCTTGGAATTCAACTTGGCCTTGGCCTTGGGGCTAGCAAGAAGTAGCTGTAAATAAAGATTTAACTCCCCCAGTTCCTAAGCTATCTTAGAATTTAAAAAGTCAAATAAAACAGCTTCTAGAATTATTGTCCTTGTCCAAATCTAAAATTCATTTAAAGACTCTTAAGTCCTTTACCTCACACCTTTAAAAATTGCTGATTTCATTAGGAAATCCTGGCATTTGTGACAACATAAGATGAACACAGAGGATCTTATGCTAAGTGAAATAAACCAGGCCCAGAAAGACAAACACTATACGATCTCACATCTGGAATCTAAAAAGTCAAACTCCTAAGTAGAGGGTAGAATGATGGCTGCCAGCAGCAGGAGGTAGGTGGCTGGAGAAAGGAGAGACCCTGGCTAAAAGAAGCAAAATTTCATTTAGAAAGGAGGAGTAAGTTCTCATCTGCCACACAGCACAGAGACTGCAGTATAAACTATAGTAATATCGTGTTTCAAAATAGCCAAAAGAGAGGATTTTAAATATTGTCAACAGAAGAAAGTAAGAAGTATTGGAAGTAATAGATGTGTAAGTTAGGAGGATCTGATTATTTCACATTATATCATGATATATATTATAAATACATACAAACACTCTTGTCAATTACAAATAAAAAAAAACCTGAATAAATAAAAGTATCCCTGATTTCAAGCTTTGATGGATGCTTTAGGGTAGCTCTCTGTTTCACATGAGGAGCTCCAAGTGCTGTGGAATCCGCTGGGTGGCCTCTGCACCCAGATAAGAGCCTAATCCTTACTCAACCTCTGAAGCTCACCCCATAACCCACCTCCTACCATGCAGCAGCCCAAGTCCCATGAGCTGTCTTTTCTAATCAGTTTTACACAGAGAAGACATAAAATTACTTTTGGTAGGGCCCAAGCATTGTGTTCCCTTATCCCAAACACCATACGAGTCCATCTGGGGAGAAATAAACCGTAGGGACCACCTAGGGAGCATTAAGAGGACAGGTCACCAGGGCCGACGTCAGATTTACTAAAGCAAAAATTCTGGGAGTGAGTTCTAGGAGCCTATGACTAAAAAGCCCCTTGGTGATTCTAAGCCAGCTGCCCTAGACCCCACACTGGCTGGTGCTGACCAGCATGGGGGAGCAAATCCTACACAGG